GATGTTTCTGCCAGCCATTAAATACCTGACTGGCTACTGGGGTTCATTAATATGAAGTGACCTTCTAGAGGTCTGGTAGCAACGTAACAGGTAGCTTAGAGAAACCCCTGATCCGATGTACGCCAGGAGCTGTGTGGATAGCCTGTATCTGACTCGGTTTTTCTACCTCGGGTTGTACCCTGTTGGCTTTATTTTATCTTTGAAATAAATGCTCTGGTCGGACCTTGGTGTTCTCCTTTGCCAGGTCTTTCGTGAAGTGGGAGCTGCAAAATCCTCCCTCGGGCCAAAACTCTCCGGCCAGCCCTCCTCCGGAGCTGGCCATCCATGTGCCGAGGTCCGTGCTGCACCTGGTCAGGGTGAGGGGTTCGTCTCATTCAGCTTTAAAGCTCCTTTAGGAGCCAGGCTGCCAAAGGATGGAGATGGGCATCCTTGGAGGGTACTTCAGACCTGGGCAGCAGAGGATAGCAGTGATTTCAGTGGGGACTGGCCCGCTGGAAATGTTGGGACACCAACACACTCCTGTGTCTCCGTTCCTATGTCCTGCTCCCTACAGCAACCAAATCTGCACACCAAAATCTGCCACCCTGCTCCTTTCCAGGAACAATGCCCTATGGTCATCTCCCTTCTGGCTTCGGCCACTTTGGGGGCTATGGTGAGCCTGAGAGCCAGCACCTCTCAAGCAACGGCGCCTCAGACTGAGCTGGAAAGGTTAAAGGAAGACGGGAAAGTTCAAGGATGTCTCTGAGAGCAGCTGGCTATATATAGTGCTCCCGGAGCAGCTGCTCTGCTTGCAGAGATGACAGCAGCTCCTTCGATTTCACGGTGCCGCGTTGCCTTGCACAGGCTGAGGAGCTGCCTCCGGGCTGCTCTCAGCAGAAGGGCACCAAGCGCCGGGCTCAGGCAAAGAGCCGCAGCATGAGGCTGCTGTTAACTCAGCGCTAATGCGAAGCAAGCCAGCGTGGCAGACTGGCACTGGCCCTGGGGCAAAGCACGCTGCAAAGCGACCGAGCAAAGAGTTGGTGGCTGTGAGAGCGAAGGGAGCCTTGCACAAGCAGCCAGGGAGACGGCGGCTAGTGGGAACAGCTCCTGGTGTCGGAGGTGCCCCCGGGGCTGCCTGCCGGCCCAGGACGTGGCTGGGGTCTGGTATTGCTGCTGGCGTAAGGCCCTTTCCAGGCTGACGGTGGGGCTCAGGCTGCCAGAAACAGTTCCCGTCCTGCTCCCCTGATGCAACCTCCATGCCGGCAGCCGGCTGTCTGTGGCGTGCGGTACCCTCACCTTGGCAGCTCCCCGGAGGAGGGCACCGAGGGGACCTGCCAGCCCTCTGCGAACAGCCATGGCACATGCTTCCCCTCCCTGGAAGGCTGTGAATGGGCTGGGTGATCCCCTGAACCTAAAAGAGCGCCAGTGATCCCCAGAAAGTCACTGATCCAGCAGGTTTTGAGATGGCTCTCAGCCCGTTTTTAACAAGCACCGAGGTTTGTCAGCTCCCGATGAGCTTGTTACTGACTGGGACACAGGCACCTTCCTCCCACAGCAGCTGGGGTGCTCGAGGCCAACGAAGGGTGACAGAGGTGCCAAGCCCCCACATGTCTGCACGGTGCCTGGAGAGCCCTGGAATCCTCCAAAAGACATTTGGGGTGGAGTTAAATGTTTTCTTTCTCATTTCAAACAACCACACGCATGCACGCACACACACACAGTGCTCAGCCGAAATCTCATGGATTATTCACTCATTGTCAGTTATTTCTGTTCTCAGCTCTGAAAAAATAATGAGCCGGGTTCAGTGGAAGAAGCCCCAGAGATTCAGGGAATATGGACAAACAGGCTGTCTCGGATCTGATTTACGGCCCATTATGACTCCTGATCCTCAGTGGTGCCTCCAGAGCCTCCTGCTCTGGGGTGGCTGGCAGGGAGGCACCCGCAGCGTCGCGGGGCTCCGAGAAGCAGGTTTGGAGCCCAGGAGCCGGCAGCACCAGGGTCAGTCAGGTCTGTCTGTAAAGCTGCTTCTAATGCTGATCGATAGAGTGGGATTTGTAGACTTTCAGTGAAATTACAGTCAGGTCAGGCCAGCCTCCCCAGACAGCCCAGAGTCTGTCCAGGCCCCAGCTCCTCCCCGGCGGGCTGACGCTGAGGATAAGGAGCAAGGCAGGGGCCAGAGCATCTCTCCAGCCACTCCTGCATCCATTTCTGGCTTGGACTTGTGTCCACAGCTTTGTGCTCAACATGCATTTCTGTGAAATCAGATGTTAACACCATAATAACCAAAAGCCCACACGGTAACTTGGGGATCTCTATACCCAGGGCTTGTTTCTACCGGCTTTCAAAGTTTTCCACTGCTTTGCTGTGTTTCAGTGCAACTTGCTCCCTTACATGCAGAAATATGCATGCATGGAAATGTATGTATTTTCTGCATGCGCACATCTATGTTTTGCTGCCTAGGGGGAGGAAGGGGCATCTCCTGGGAGCGAGTCACCCACAACGCGGCATGCCGGGGCCAGGGACAGCACATGGCACGGGTCAGAACCCGGCAGGGCAATGAGGGGGGCATGCTCGGCCCAAGTGCGGTGCTGGCGAGCCAGCAGGGTGGTGGCACTGCGAGGGCCATAAAAAGGGTGGAGAGGCAGGCAGGGGGTAGTGACTGGTGAGGCAGCAGGGCAAAGGCTGGCAGCCGATGCGCCCCGTGCCGGTGAGAGCGGGGCTTGCTGGGAGCGCGGTGAGTGCCCCATGCCGGGCGGAGAAACAGGGAGATGCCTTCGCCACAGGCATGGTGGCTGGCAAGATGATAGCGAGGATGGCAGAAGGATGGGGGATTTGCTCCTCTGTGCTCAGGGCCCATGGGAAACCCGGGGGGCCCACAGGGCTTGGGGCTCACTCCCAGGAGAGCTCTGCTTGGCGGAGCAGCTGTTCTGCCCTGAGCCCTGGTGCCACTGGTGGGACTCCCCCTGCCTCTGGCAGCACCTCTGTGGGCTGGGGGAGCCGGAGAGATGCCCAGCACACTGGTCCCTGCGTCCCCTGCCCTGCCCTGCCCTGCACTGCCCCGAAAAATGCTTTGGGCTTGTCCCAGCGCAGCCCTCGAAGCATGTTAAAGCATTTATTTATGGCATTCGCAACAGCTGCTGCAGCTGCAAGCCGACCCTGAAGACAGGACCAGTGTCTCTCCCTCTGTGTCAGCTGGGTTTGCTCAGAAAGGTCTGGCTTTCTCCTCCTTGGGTTGGGGGCTGAAACCACATCTGGGAGCTGTCAATGTTCCCCATGGACCACATCCCCACACCGGCTCCCACAAGCAGACCTAGGATCGACCTCCCGTAGGTATCTGCTCACCCCTCTGAACATGTGCTGCGGCCCTCAGACATGCCTGAGGGCCAAAGGACTGCTTGGCTCATCCTGGCGGTCCCCGAGTAGGTCCCCTCTTAGAGGGTAAGAAAAGTAAAGACAGGGCAGCTGGCAGATGAGCAGGCTTGTGCTCTTTGGGGTGGAAAAGACAGCTGGAAAAGAGGTCTAGGAGAGCATGTGAGGCAGCCAAAGATGAAAAGGAAATGCTGGTTCCCTATCTTTATTTGATATGCAGGGAACGTCAAGTGAAGCGAGCTGGCTGGGAAGGGGCTGCAGGAGGGGTTTCTGCACCCCACAATCAGTGAAATGGGCGACACAGAGCTGAAAAGGCTCAGAGATCAGCCAAGCAATTTGGCATGGAAGGGGAGAATAAAACCCACTGAGGGCTACCAAGAGCTGGTTCAAAGCTGCAACACGTCCCCCGTTCGCCCTGCTGCTGGCGCTGGGTGAAGGGGATGGTGCTGAGCAGCTGGCTGCATGTCCTCTTTGTTGCAGCACCTGGGTGGCGGTGCTGGGGACCATGTCCAGAGAGCCCTTTGCTGCCTTCCCTCCCTACACCACTCAGGAGCCCATGCTGGTGGGGCTGGGGGCAGTGCTGTGGGGCAGCCACTGCAGGCTGGTGCCCAGTGCATCCCAAAAGCAGAGCTCAGCGTGCTGGGGGTAAGTGAGAGTGCCTGCCAGCCCTTGCCCCCCTGCCGGGCTTGCAGCCACTTCCAGGCATTCCCATGTCCCTTCTCCTCCCAAGGGCCCCCAGCTCCTCCTCGGCTTTGCTCACGGCGGTGCTGGCGGTGTCCTCATCTCCTTCACCAGTGAGCTGGTGGAGATGCTGACCATGGACTCCTGATACCTCTTCTCGGGGGGGAACTCTAGGTGAGGACCCTGTCGGCCAGGGCTGGAGCAGGGAGAAGGGGATGATGCCCCAGGTGGGAAGGGCAACAGGGCATGCAGCAAGCTCTGGGTGTCCCAGGACACGTGCGATGACCCTGACCATGCGCAGCTTCCCTGGGACCATGCCTTGCAGAGGGGGTAAAGCCCCCAGCCACCCCTAACCCAGCAGGGGACAGACATGTCCCCTTGCTTTCAGGATAGTGCCTGCTCTGTCATGCCCACATCCTCCTTTCCAAACATTTCATCTCCTCTGGCTCCTGCTCCATGGTGGCAGAGAAGAACCAGGGCACCTATGTGGTAAGTGGAGACACGAGGACTCTGTGGCTGAGAAAACCCCACCGAGGAAAAGAGCCAAAGGGAAAAATGCCTGTGGTGGCTTGGAAGGGGCTTGGAGGGAGCCTGCCCCAAGGAGGGTGCCTGCCTGGCCCTGTCCCATTCAGGTGAGGGCCGCATGGCCCTCAACGTCACCAGTGTCCTTGCAACAGTGATGGGCATCACCCTGGTGCTCTGGGACCTCAACCTCTGCGACGAGCTTTGCTACGAGCCTGTGTTGCATCAGGAGCTGGTGAGTGCTGTCGGCTCA